AGAAAACTTTGGTTTTAGATTAAATGTTTACCTATCAGACTCAAGCTGACTTATTACCCGATCAGACACGAGGTGACTTGTTTATTCTCTTCATAATCTTTGCTCCTCTACAAAGTTAGATCAAGGATAGCGGTACCCAGGGTGCAGAATGATTCCCCAAAATGTGGTTCTTGGGCATGCTGAGTGCTTTTGAAATCTTGGCTCACTGCAACCTCCACCTCCAGGGTTCAAGCGATTCTCCCACCTCAGTCTCCCGAATAGCTGGGATTACAGGCACTCACCACCACGCCCGGCTAATTTTTTTGTATCTTTGTGGAGACAGGGTTTCACCATGTTGGTCAGGCTAGTCTCGAACTCCTGATCTCGTGATCCACATACCTTGGCCTCCCAAAGTGCTGGGATTACAGGTGTGAGGTCACTGCGCCCGGCCACTCTGAAATTATTTTACCACCTTTGAAAATTATAAAACTCCTATAACTATTCTAATATAATCTCTTAGTATTCAATTCTTTGTTTACAAAGTAGTTAAGAGCTGAAACTCTGGAATTAGAAAACTTTGGTTTTAGATTAAATGTTTACCTATCAGACTCAAGCTGACTTGTTACCGATCAGACACGAGGTGACTTGTTTATTCTCTTTAAATCTTTGCTCATCTACAAAGTTAGATCAGGATAGTGACGGTACTGTTGGGGTGCAGAATGATTCCCCAAAATGTGGTTCTTGGGCATGCTGAGTGCTTTTGAACACTGAAAGGCCTCAGAAATAAGCTTCAGAATCAAAGCCCCTCTAACCTCGTCTTGTTTCTCTTTCCTATACATGCGAAGGAACTCTGACATTTCCTAATCGGACCAAGAAAATTTCTTAACGAAAGAAACAGAATTGCCTTCTATTCCCTCCCTAGTTATTTCATTATTGCAGAAAAGAAGACTGGATATGGATTTTTCAATATAATGCCTTCTTCTCCGTCTCATTTAAATTACCAAGACATACTAGATGCCGTGGCTCTTCCCCATAATCCCAGCACTAAGTAGGAGGTCAAGGCAGGTGGATCCCTTGAGCTCAGTTCGAAACCAGCCTGGCCAACATGGTGAATCCCCGTCTCTACAAAGTTTACAAAAAATTAGCCAGGTGGTGGCGCATGCCTGTAATCCCAGCTACTTGGGAGGCTGAGGCAGGAGAATCACTCGAACCTGGAAGGCGGAGGTTGCAGTGAGCCAAGATTGCACCATTGCATTCCAGCCTGAGTAACAAGAGTGAAACTCCGTCTAAAAAAAAAAAAAAAATTAGCCAGGTGTACTGGTGCACACCTGTGTTCATAGCTACTAAGGAGGCTGAGGTAGGAGGATCACTTGAATCCCAGAGGTAGAGGTTGCAGTGAGTGGAGACTGTGCCACTGCACTCCAGCCTGGGTGATGGAGTAAGACTCTATCTCAAAATAAATACATAAATTATGAAGACAATTATTTACAACCTAATTTATTTCTGTGGTCCATTTATTCTCTATAACAATCTTTTATTGCCCCTCAAAGGAATTGTCTACCTTTCCCATCTCCTCCTTCCCCTATGAAAAAAGTTACATAACCTGTACCCCTTTGGGGACTGGGGTAATCACTTTGTAATTCTCCCTCGTGCACATTATTAAATTTCTCCCATTATCCTGCCTTTTGTCAGTTGGTTATCTGTGAAACTTCCCTTAGCCCCTACAGTATTTACCTCTTTGAGTTACTATAAGAATCAATAGAGGCCAGGCTCAGTGACCTGCCTGTAGTCCCAGCTACTCTGGAGGCTGAGGTGGGAGGATTGCATGAGTCCAGGAGTGGGATGATTGTGCAAGCTCAGGAGTCACAGATTAGCCTGGGCAACATCACAAGACCTTCATCTAAAAAAAAAAAAATTAATAAAAAAAAACAATGGAGATAATGTACATAAAATATCAGGCAGAAAGCCAACCTCTATTTAATATAATTTTTTCTTTATAACTAATTTACAAATATTTTGTTTATATTATACTTTAAATATGTTAATACATCATAAATTAATCTAATTATGTATAATGCATTAAGTAGTTAATTTAAATAACAAATATTTATTTTTAGTGCTTATTGTCAATGTTGGGGCTCAGAAACCAATACCCCAAACTACGGCATGGTGACTAGCTGAACTGCAGAAGCCTCAAAGTCTCTTAGACCTTCTCCCCCTCCCCAACCTTTATCTGCCTATTATCCAGACTCACCAAAATTGAATCCCTGTAAGACGAATGGAATCACACCTGAAGAGCTCATTTCACAAGATAAGGTAGAAATTTAATTTCTTTTCCCTGATCCATTCATTTTTCCTAGTAATCCTCTCAAATGAATTCCTCTTCTCCCTCCCTCAAACTGTTTTTCTAGGATGGTGTATAAACTTCTGAACCACATTCTGGGGTGGGCAATCACTCTGATTCTCCCCATGCACATTGTAAATTTGTCTGCTTTTTTTTCCTATTAATCTGCCTCATGTCCGATTTTTCAACGAACCTTCAGAGGGCACCAAATCAGTAAGGACATTAATTTAATTCAATATTTCACAGATGATATGATACCATAAAGTGATAAGGCACTATAAATCTTCCTAATTGCTCTTTGCCCCTTGGATCCCTCTGATCTTTAGGTTGCCTCCTCTAGTTTACTTACTTTGAAGCTACACATTTAACAGCTCCTCCATTTTTCTTTACATGTGTATGTAGAATTATAAACAATGATATATCACACTTGTATATTTTATTTTACTTAATACATAAGTTTGCATTTGTCAGTGTTTTGATTATGAGTACATTGAGTTTGCATAAATAACACCAAAAATTATAATAATTATAAAGCAAAAGTTACTTTACAAGCTGTTTAGCTTAAAGAATTTTACTTCTGGAACTCAGGAACTCTGAAAATTATTACTTAGCTAGCTTTCATGATTAGATGGTGGTTCTTGGGAGAAATAGAAACAATGGAATAATTTTATCATCAACTTCAATGATCATGACAGCATATTTAAAAACTTATTTTAATTTCAAAAATCTTACAGGCCTTCTATGGAGCCGTATCATTTACTTTATATTGATGGTTGTAACAGAAACAATTATTGAAAATTTATACACACAAATAACGCAGATGACATTTTAAAATGGAACGAATGAATTAATTCATTGAAATCAGGATGGAGTCCTCAACATCAAATAATCGTAACTTTTTTTTAAAAAGTAATATTTATGACAGTTGTGTTTGCTGTTTTATTCCAAGAAATATTAGTTGTATGCGATTGCAATTAAGACTTAAATCTAGGAAATAAAAATGTGTGCAGAGACTCAAAAATTAATGTATTTCAATGGACTAGAGATCCTGTGGAAGTTCGTTTTCATTAACATGTCTTTATGAGGAACACAGTAGCTTATATAAGTTTAGGTGGAGAGGAATAGAAGGCCCTCTCTAGCTAGGAGGACTTGGTGATCTGAGGAGGAAGGGAGTGATCTTGATGAGAGAAAGGAAGCAGGAAAAACTGACAGGAACAGGGCTATATGACTATGATATAATAAAAAACCTGACTTACAATGTCCATCATTCATACTGTTTTTAAGTAACATGTTCTAACGTAATCTCACACCCTAACCCCAACCCTTTCCCATCATTTACATAAACAGTCCATTATGACATGTATTCTTTGCCCAAGTCAACTTGAAGCTCCTTTTGGATATAGACGTTATGTATCTGGATTAATATTGTATTCCCATTTAGGAGGGTGCCTGGCACACCATAGGTGCTCGGAAAGATTCAATTGAACTGGAATAGGTAGGCCAAACGCACATGGGGTCCTAAATTCTGCAGAAGGGTCAGATACCCAAATTCTGCTTCCATGGTCTTATGAAATATAAACTAAAAGCCCAAGCAAGGAGCAAAGGTTAGTCTACCAATTTTATCTCTGGAACCCAGGTACACTGAAAACTATTATTTAGCTAGCTTTCAGTCCTCCGTAATACAGAAAGTAAGTATCTGACACTAGGTTCATTTGAAACACTCATGCTCTGTCACACAAGCTGGACTGCAGTGGTGCAATCATAGCTCATTGCAGCCTCGAACTCCTGGGCTCAAGTGATCCTTCTGGTCTCAGCCTCCCAAGTAGCTAGGACTACGGGCTATGAGACGCCAGGCACAGTTATTCTACTTTTGTAAAGATCAGGCTGACTTCGGACACCAAGGCTCTAGCGGTCCTTCCGCCTCGGCTTCCCAAAGTGGTTGTGTTACCGGATGGTGCCAAGCAGTTCCAGGCTCTTGGTGCCAGGAGCAAACTAGTCGACACACACACAGATAGCAAAGCAAAGCAGCAAAAGTTTATTAAGCAGAGTATTACACTCTCGGCGGGGGAGAGCGCACTGACCTCTGCGAGATGAGATCAGCATCAGTTTGTTGCAGTTTAAGTCTTTTTATGTGTGTGCGTGTGTTTTTCTCGTCCCAGTGCCGCCTAATCTATAGCCAGTATCTGCCCTTTTATTGATAGGTTTGTTGCTTAGTTACTTTGGCCTCTGTGGCTTGTGCATCACCTCTATCTCATAATCTTAAATACATGCAAGATATGCAGCCCATATGCATGAACCTTAAGTAGCTGATTATCATATGGGCTTTTGTTAAGGATACTTTTTCCTCCCTAATACACATGCCCATCTCTGAAGAGCTGCCTTTTACTGGTTTGTTCCAGATCTTGCCGGCCACGAGGTCCTTGCTCACATTATCTCACCTTTGTTTCAGCTGCAAAAGGTTCACTGCTTGTTATCTCGCTTCTTGTTCACCCGCCTGTCCACCTTAGTTCTGCCCTTTGCTTTTACTTAGTCAGCCCTCTAACCAACTTCCAGCTCCCTTTGTTATTCTCTGCCTCACTTTTCCTATTGTTTTCAGCTGTATTGCGGGCGCGAGCTGCCGCGCCTAAATTTCTTGATGTGCCGTGAATATTTCAATGTCTACTTTCTATCTCAAAACAATGTGGTGTAAAAGCCCTTTGGTTTTGCTTCATCTCTATACAGCATTTCAGTGCCATTGCAAGATGACTCGACATCGGATAAAACTGTGGAACACAGCTCTACTTGGTGAAAAAGTAGGTGGCTCTGAAAAGAACCTTTTTGGTTTGGACCGAGGTATGAGTAATGCACTACTCCAGACCCACTACTTGCCCTTGGCCTTGTGGTGGCTCTCAGTTTTCTTAGGCAGCAGCACGGCCTGGATGTTGGGCAGAACACCACCCTGAGCGATGGTCACTTTACCAAGCAGCTTGTTGAGCTCCTCGTCGTTGCGGATGGCCAGTTGCAGGTGACGCGGGATGATGCGGGTCTTCTTGTTGTCTCGGGCCGCGTTCCCAGCCAGCTCCAGGATCTCGGCGGTCAGGTACTCCAGCACCGCCGCCAGGTACACAGGCGCGCCGGCACCTACCCGCTCCGCATAGTTGCCCTTGCGGAGCAGTCGGTGCACTCGGCCCACGGGGAACTGAAGACCCGCCCTAGAAGAGCGGGTCTTAGCTTTGGCGCGAGCTTTGCCGCCCTGCTTGCCACGTCCCGACATGACAAATATACTCAATCAGCAGCGTGCCTGAGACTGACGCAACACTAAGGCTCGGCTACTTATAGTCAATACAGGCACGAAAACTAAGCTATGCTATTGGCTAACATTACAGTTTCGCTTTAACCAATGGGATTGTGGTTTTGAAAAACACTTATTTTCATTGGACAAAGTTAATATAATACGTTTCCAGGACTCACCACTAGTTAAATGCACACCTTCATTGTCCGCTCCATTTGCGTTAAGAAGCCTGGAATAAGAGTTAGGTAGACAGTGCTACCGACTTTCTTCCCTTTTTTCCTCCAATTTTCTGGCAGTTACTACCAGCCATGCCTGAACCCTCAAAGTCTGCTCCCGCCCCAAAGAAAGGTTCCAAGAAGGCGGTGACAAAGGCCCAGAAGAAGGACGGCAAGAAGCGCAAGCGCAGCCGCAAGGAGAGCTACTCCGTGTACGTGTACAAGGTTCTGAAGCAGGTCCACCCCGACACCGGCATCTCGTCCAAGGCCATGGGAATCATGAATTCCTTCGTCAATGACATCTTCGAGCGCATCGCGGGTGAGGCTTCCCGCCTGGCGCATTACAACAAGCGCTCGACCATCACCTCCAGGGAAATCCAGACGGCTGTGCGCCTGCTGCTCCCCGGGGAGCTGGCCAAGCACGCGGTGTCGGAGGGCACCAAGGCCGTCACCAAGTACACCAGCTCCAAGTGAGCCATCCCACCGCGGAACGTTCGGTCAGTCTCGGCCCACACCCCAAAGGCTCTTTTCAGAGCCACTCAGTCTTCCCAAAGAGAGCTGGCACTCACTTTTCTTACAGCAGATATTTCTTACTCGTTACAAAGAAGATTTACAAGATTCCTTACTTTACCCTTGTTAGAAACTAATTTTGGCTCAAGCCTCTAATCCCAGCACTCTGGGGAGCCGAGGCGGGTGGATCACGTGAGGTTAGGAGTTCAAGACGAGCCAGGCCAACATGGTGAAACCCCGTCTCTACTAAAAATACAAAAAAATTAGCTGGGCGTAGTGGCGGACGCCTGTAATCCCAGCTACTCGGGAAGCTGAGGCAGGAGAATCGCTTGAACCCGGGAGACGGAGGTTGCAGTGAGCCGAGATCGGGCTATTGCACTCCAGCCTGGGCAATAAGAGCGAAACTCTGTCTCAAAAAAGAAAGAAAAAATAAATTAATTAGCACTGCAGTGTACTGCATGTTGCAGCAACGCTTGAGACAATTTTTTATCTGAAGAAGGATCAGGTTTATCATCAGACAAACCTAGTAAAGGGAAAATTCAATTCCTGTTGACCACAAATAAAATACAATATTTAAGTGTCAACTGGTAAAATATCCATAGTGTTTCCGGCGCTCTGTCCCTAAACTTCATGTGTACTTTAGTAATGAAGCAGTTGGCACACACAGAAACGTACAAATCGACTTGAACTTGTTTGAGAGTGGTGCTGTTTCTCCTCCCTTGTTCCCAGTTTGAGTTTGCTAAATATTAAGATAGAAAGGCAGCAGAAAAAAGTTTGAACCCAGTTTACAGCATCATACACGTCAATCGGGCCGAGTTGATGTCGATGGCCAATCCCGACGCTGCGCGGGCAGTTTGAAACTTGACCACCGTTTTCTCTGGTGAGTGTTCTAATTGGGAAAATTCTTGGCAGTGCGGGTTTTTTGGAGGACTCTTGCCGTTTTACTCATTCCCATATTTCTCTTGTGTGGAATTCCTGTTTATGAACATAGTTTCTATTCCCTACCTTTTCTGTTAGGATCTGCTCCATGTTTTCTTATCTGTGTCACTTGCATTTACTGTATCTCTGTTAATTGGAATAAATTTTAAAAGAAAAAAAAATAGAGGAGGAGAAGGGCTGTTCTCCATTGTTTTCCCCCACCCCCAACTGAGGAAATCAGAATAAGTGTCTTCATTTTAAACACTTAGGAGTGGCATATTTAAAAGTATTTTGGTCTTTGCCAAGAATCAGTGTGGGAACTCTTCCACATCGAATTGTATTTGCTGAAGATTTTTGATAGTATTTTTTATCCAGTAAGTGTACTCCAGTGACCCAACTGTTTGACTCCTAGATGTTTACATGAGAGAATATTTTGCACACATGCAACAGGAGACATACGAGAATGGAAAATATGCTATTTTTAATAGATAAAAATACTAGAGACAATTACATGTTCATGGTCAAAATAATGCATTTATTGAGGTACACACAGTAGTACCTGGTTGAATTTTAGAAACATAAGTCTCAGAAGGTTCATATCTAATAACATTTTTTAAAACTCAAAAGTAAAACCATGGCTGGGCAGGTCCTCATGCCTGTAATCCTAGCACTTTGGGAATGCTGAGGTGGGAGGATTGCTTAAGCTCAGGAGTTTGAGACCAGCCTGGACAACATGGTGAGACCCTATCTCTTAAAAAAAAACCCAAAAAAACAGTAAAATGAAAATAAAACCAAATTATACATTGTTGAAGTATATATAGAAGCACTTATATGGAATAAGTATACATAAGTGTGTGATAATGAAAACTTTTAAGAGAGAGTTTTAAAAATACCTGGCAGTGGCTATCTTAGTGATAAAGGCAAGACATGGGATGGGGAAACACACAGAGGTAAATACAAGTTGTTGCCAATATTCCAGTTTTGGGTTAGATGTTTTATCATGGGTTTTGATATAATTTGATTTAAACTTTATATATATGTGTGTGTGTGTATATATATATATTTTTAGATAGTGTCTTACCATGTCACCCAGGCTGGAGTGCAATGGCACAATCTCGGCTCTCTACAACCCTCACCTCCCGGGTTTAAGCGATTCTCCTGCCTCAGCCTCCCTAGTAGCTGGGTTTACAGGAGCCGGCCACCACACCCAGCTGATTTTTTGTATCTTTAGTAGAGTTGGGGTTTCACCATGATGGCCAGGCTGGTCTCGAACTCCTGACCTCATGATCCGCCCGCCTCGGCCTCCCAAAGTGCTGGGATTACAGGCATGAGCCACTATGCCCAGCCTGATTTACATTTTAAATATATGTTACATATATTAAATTTATGTATCAAATACTATACTGGAAAATATAATAGGAAAAAACTCCCAGTGTAAAAACAAGTTACAAGCATCACATAGTTTGTCATAAAGGAAAATTTATAGATGAGAAACTCAAACCTAATAGTGTTTCCATAAATATTACTCATTTTCTAAATATTGTTCATTGCTCCTCCTCTCTTAAGGAGGAGAAAAAGAGGACTCACGGAGGACATTAAGAAGGCAGATGGATTCCGAAAGCTCAAGATTTTGGCTAAAATTAAGAGTCAGCAACCAATCTCCAGGTACCCTTGCTTCTCAATCTGTAGACTAAAGACCCTAGACCAAAAATCCTGATTCCTAGGAAGTGCTTGGAGGACCTTGATGGTGCTTCATTACAGTTGATTTCTTCACATTATTTGATGTATTGAATCTGCATTTGGCACAGAATTGACACAATTCAGACTTCATGAAATCCATTTAATTAAATGTTCTTTCTCTCTGCTTCTCCATCTATCTAAATCCTAACTTATCCTCCAAAGTTCACACAAGTCTCACTCTCTGAAGGCCTCTCTATTAGAACCTAGCTGAGCTCTGTCTTCCTTTAGCTCCTCTAAGCTCTTATAAATCTCTACTTAACTTCCCGCAAAATCTTTGTAACATCTCTCTGGAGGCTATGTGTGTGTATGTGTATGTGTATTTTGTATATATGTTATGTATGTGTATGTTTGTATACTCCTCTCTCTGTTAGAACAGAGATTATACTCTTTTCATTTATGTATCTTCTCTCCTCCCACCATTTCACACCAAAATACTTGAGGACAGTAAATTCATCATACATTTGAGTTTTTTCATCACAACTTTTCATAGCACAGGTGCCGTTGAGCCTCTCCATTAATACAGATAATCAGCAGGAAATTCTGCTGTTGGTTTGTTTTATGGAATGGAGAAATCTGTAGTTAAAATCCAGAAGAGAAAGTGAAAAGGGGATGTAGAAGGATTAAGTTACCTAAACACATTCTCCAGGCCAGAATAAAGAATAGTGAAGTAACTCCTTATTAAACATACAGAGAATATAGATAGATGTCTATATTTCTGCATCTGTATGTCTATATGTAAGTTTGGGCCATCAGGGACTACTTGAATAACTTGGAGTTGTCAGCAGGGAAGAAGATGTCTAGAAGAATATTGTGTGTGGGGTGGCTAAAATCTATGTGGAGAATGGAGAGAAGCATTAAGAAAAAAACTGAACACTTCTTTACAAAGTTCACATATCAGGCCCATTACTCTCAGTTATTAAGAAGGTTAAAATTTCTAAAACAGAGAGAGAAAGAGAAATAAGGACTCAAAGACAGATCTTTTAAGTTATTTGCACCTTGTAGCCAAGCATGGTACCCTCTGTTGCTGAAACAATCTTGATTAATTTATGACATTACTAATCAGCCTTGGGGAATTGATTAGAGCTAATCCAAACCAGCATGTCACATTAGTGCTTTACACTGGAACTTTTATATGGTAGCTGCAAGAAAGCACATGATTCATGTTTTGCCCCAAATAACTTTTTTTTTTTGTGTGTGTGTATATATATATATATAATATATACATATATATGTGTATTTTTCCTGAAAACAATGTATGTATATATATTTTTTTCCTGAAAACAATTTATAGGACAAAAAGGAACAGATTGGAACATAGAATTATATGAGAGAATCTGGTCCTAAAGGACTTTTTTTTTCTTTTTTTACAGCTATGTCTTGAAAAAACAACTATTTACCTGAATAAATGGTCTTTGGCCAGATTAGAAAAATTTATATTTTCCTCATTGGAAACAGAGCACTCCCTTCCATGGAGATTGCAAGAAACATACTAACAAAGCCTAATTCTTTTTCACTCATTTCTAAATTTCATGCAGTCTGCCATTCTTCAGTTATGACATAGTATTGGACATGCTCCTTTTTTATTTTGTTTTGTTTTATTTTGTTTTTGTTTTTTTGTTTGTTTATTTCATTACAGCAAACATTGCCTGATAAAGAGCATGTTAAATTAATGTGATCACAACTTATCTGAGGTCCATTTCCTGTTACTTGATGTGGAAAAACATTGTGTGAATTTCATCATCCATCCATTTCCAAACCACCTCAAATATCTGTTACTTCTGCAGATGGTCAATTTATTCATTTCCCAATTCCTTTTAACTTGTATTTCAGGGCCTCTCCTTTTCTGATACTGTCACCAAATCATAAAGGTTAGGAGACTGCATGAGGTAAAGCAGATGCGTGGTACTAAAAAACAGGAGAAAATTTTTCCACACTTGAATAATGATAAAAATGTCTGTCCAGGTGCGGTGGCTCATGCCTGTAATTCCAGCACTGTGGGAGGCTGAGGTGGGTGGATCGCCTGAGGTCAGGAGTTCAGGACCAGCCTGGCCAACATGGTGAAACCCCATCTCTATGAAAAATACAAAAATTAGCCAGGCATGGTGGTGTGCACCTGTAATCCCAGCTACTCGGGAGGCTGAGGCAGGAGAACCACTTGAACCCAGAAGGCAGATGTTACAGTGAGCCAAGATTATGCCACTGCACTCCAGCCTGGGTGACAGAGCACGATTCCATCTCAGAAGAAAAAAAAAATTTTTCTATTAATTTCCAGAGTTGAACACGCACACAAGTATCTCTAGGGGTTGGTAAATGTGAGTGATGAAACTTAACAAGGTTTTATTGAGGGTCAGAGAATGCAAAGAACAATGGGGATAGACTGTGAGAACAAATAACTTCATCCCCTGACAGTAAGAATTCCCACCGATATAAGGAAAAATAAAAGTGCCTCAGCCATAGTTCTTTAGTTATACTAGAGAAAAGGAATTATTTTTGTTGGAGAAATTAAGAAACACTGTAAGAAAACACTGGGATTCTAAGTGTATTAATTTGGGAAGAGCCTTAAAATCCCAAGGCACAAGGGCAGCAACTCAGGCTTTGAAATCATATAGTCAGGTCCTGGTGCAACCATTTGGAGTAGCAGTGAGGGTTGTGACCTGTATTTATTGACCTTCTGTGAGGTTGGTGCTTGTGTAGCTCATTAAACAGGGCTTACAAATGAGAATTTATAAAAAGCAGTGGTTCTCACACCT